TGACACTAGCTACAGCATAAATGCTACCCAAAATTATTTAGGTGTTCTTCGTATCCTTTAGCTAACGTCACCAGAAGCAAAAGTACGAAGCCGTATCTTTTAGAGGTGGTAACAGAGGAATTAAAGGCTACAACTGATAAACACTTCGAAAGATCCCAGCTCGTGGTGAACACTGATACTACACGTTTCATCTTACCTGGTTAACCCCCAGCACGAATTGGCTGGGCGGTGATGTTTTCTTAACATCTCATCTTGTTGGTCTTTAGCGACGCACCTATCCCTGAATCTCGTTACGTGAGAACGCATCACTTCGTGTCACTAGCGAAAATCCAACCGATGTCAGAAAAATATTCCAGCAATCCATGGAGTAGTTGATGTAGAAGTGGGAAGAAAAGCCTCGGAGGTTTTTCGGTGATACCGTGAATCCTCGGAGGAGCAGCATCCGGGCCACCCGGCGCCACGCGCGCTTCGCCGCCGCTTCTGCTAATCGTATTCCAAGTCCGCTTCTCGTTGCGCCCGTTTCGCAGCGGCTTCTTTGGTGCGGACCGTATCGGGATCTGCCCGACGCCGCGCTCGCTTTGCGGCAGCAACTTAAGCCAACAAGCGTAATCCGACACTTACGGCGACGATCCGGGAGAATGAGAGATAACGGGTGAGCGCCGGCACCCCTGCGCAGCCCTCGCAGCAGCCAATTAGTGAGCAACAGCACCCGCGACGCCATCTAGTGTCCATTCCCCCAACCGCCGTGTTTCACATGGATGGATGGATGGATGCTATGAGCGTCCCCTTTATAACGGGGTGGTGACAAGTATGCCACCAGGCTCGACAAAAAAAAAAAACCTTTTTTTCTTTTTATGTTGGCCTAATGCCTCTACTTCGATAAATTCTATCTTAATAGAAAAAAAGGTAAATTTTCAGCTTAAGTTCTCTGCCATTTACGGCACACTGTCCATATTTTATTTTTCCAATATTTATTTTTGTCCTTTCTATCTAATTTTCTGCCACCAATACTCTAACCGTCTCTTACTTATTTCAATCGCGGGTGTGTTCAGCTTTCCATTGTTGTCCCTAAAACCCAAGGCTTCCTGTAGGCTCGTGCCCAAACGTACACCTGGGTGGATATCTCCACATTCAATCAGAACATGCTCCGCCGTTTCCTTATCTTTCCCGCAGCATGTGCATTGTTCTTCTTCTTTACTGAATCTTGCTTTATAACTACGCGTTCTAAGGCAACCCGATCTCGCTTCAAACAGTAAAGCGCTTCCCCTTGAATTATCGTAAAATGCCTCCCTCCTTATTTCATTTTTGCCCTTTCGGTAGTTACTCAAAGCCGTTTTTTCTCCATAGCTGCCATCCAGTAAATCCTCTCCGCCTCCCTGACTTTTCCCTTAACGCTCTTTGTTGACATACGGCTTACAATACCAGCCGTATACTCACTAGTGAGTCTTCTAGTTCTTTTTCTCCACTGTGTGTCCACGCTCTTCCTATACAAATAACGGAACACCTTCTCTGCCCATCTACTCTCCTTCATATTTCTTAGCCTTTCTTCGAACCTTATTTTGCTCTGCGCTTCCCTCGCCTCAAAACCTGCCCACCCCATATCGCCCCTTTACAGCCCGTTTGTCGTCTTCCCGTGAGCACCCAACGCGGAGGCGTCCCACAGTCCTTGATTTACATCCATTCCCGCTTGCACCTCTGCCCTCATGCACACCCACTGAGTTCCCAAAAGTAAGCCCTGGAACCATTACACCCTTCCACAGACCTCGAAGCCCTCATACCTATTGTATCCCCACAACGCTCTGTGCTTCATTATTGCCGCATTCCTCTTTCCTTTTGCTGCCGATGCTTTTTCCTGTACCTCCAGGTATCTATCACTCTCATTACCCATACTCCAAGGTACTTGTATTCTTTTACCCTCGGTATTTCTTGGCCTTGTATGGACACCGGTCATGATCACAAGGGATCATTGAATACCATCAATCCCACTTCGTTACACTGAATCCTAGTCCAAGAGCTTCACCTTCCCTTCCGCATATATTCGCCAGCTGCTGTATATCATCTCGACTGTCCGCACAATAAGACGATATCGTCCGCATAAACATAAACCTGGAAGCTTCTGCTCAATCATCATGCCGCCTGTTTGTGACAGATTAAAACCAATGTTGCTACCTTCTAGCGCCTTTTTCCATACTCCACATGTACAGCATGAAATAACAGCGGGAACAAAGGAACATCCTGTCTCAGACCCCTGCTAACCTCAACGTTCTTTTTGCTACGCATTCCTTCCACTCTATGCAAACTGTATTTCCTCGGTATATCTCCCTCAAAAGCTGTATACAGTCGTCGCCCATGCCCATCCTTTCAATATATCCCACAAAATTCCTGATTAACGTTGTCGTATGCCCCCCGTGATGTCTAGAAAAGCCACGTAAAGGGCTATATCTCTATTTTGGATTATTTCTATACACGGAGTGAGAACAAACAGGTTATCGTCTAACCGCCTGTCGACTCGAAATCCGTTCTGAAGTTCTCCCAAAATATCGTTTATGTTCGGCCATGTTTCTATTTTCATTTTACTGCTTGCATCGCCATCCTGTATAGTACCGATGTAATTGTTAGTGGTCATACGAGCGAATCTTGTCCTTCCTCCCTGCCTTTATAGATTAAGTTCATTCTACTTTTGTCGCCAACTGCCGGTATTGTCCGTCCTTAAGCTTTTTCTACTGCTTTTAACAATGCTTCTTTAGTGTTATGTCCTAGTTCGTTAATGAGGCTAACGGACTCCCATCTAAACCCGCGGCAGTGCGCTTTGGAATTTTTCCTTCGGCCTTTTTCCAGTTGAAATTATCAAGTACTAGCTCTTCCTCTGTTGCTTTCTCCGCCACACTTTTACTCACCGGGGAGATCCCCGGACGCTCTTTTGAAACGAATCGGCTGTTAACTTTGGATGTAACCTAGCGCTTCGTACCCTTCCAATTGATTCCTCCTTCATCTAGAATATGTTGTTGCGTTGTGACAGACTTCCTACCTAGCGCCTTTATGTGGCTCCAAAAAATCCTAGGCGCGGCCTCCTTTTTTTCGTGTATCTCTGTCATCCAGCGTTCACTTTCACCTTTAATTTCTGCCTCTACCAATTTCTGTACAAGGGATTTTTTCTCTAATATATTCCCATATTTTTTTTACTTCGTCCTGCGGCCGCTTCTCCTTTTTTGCCTTTCTATGCTCCCGTGAGGCTTCGCGTCGCTTCTCGATCGCCTCCCGGATTTCCTTGTTCCACCAACTTTTTGGCTTCCTTTTCCTTTCCAGCAAACAGTTTTCTTCTCTTTCCTATCTCCTTCGTCATTAGATGTAACAGCTCACTATACTCCCAGTCCTTGCCTGGTATTTCGCCTACTTCTTCCTCGACTCTTGCGGCTATATTTATTATTTGTTTGTCATTTAAATACGAGCTGCCAGACTTTGATTCCATGCTCATATTTTCAGTTTCGTATCCCATTTGTAATGTTATTCGTTTATGATCACTACCCAAGCTGTTAATGCCTTCCTCGTCTATCCTCATTTCTGTCAGTTTGTGGTAAATTCCTTCAGTCATGAGACAATAATCAATACTTGATTGCTTGTTTCCGACTTCCCATGTGATCTGGCCGTCACATTTAGGCCCCGTGTTAACTATCTCCAGACTATGTTGCTCGCAAAGATCTAGTAATAACTTCCCATTGGTGTCTGAATATCCGTCAAGGTCATGTATGTGGGCATTCATGTCCCCTAGAAGGATGATCTCGGCCCCATTACCAAATTCCTTAATATCCGCACTCATGCAATCCACTATCTCCTGATTCTTTCTCTGCAGTTATTCCCGTCACAAGTAGGCTACCCCTAGCCACGTTTCCTTTCACCTACTGTGCCCCGAACCCAGAGGTGCTCTGAACACGTCTGTTTCACTCTAACCCATTTGGCTCCGCGGTGAATTAGCATTCTACACCCCCACCTTTCCTTTCCGATATGGTCCTGTTACACCCTTCCCAAACATAATTTTTAATATGTGGTGGCTCTTCCAAGTCTCTAAGGTGTGTTTCTGTAACCGCATACACGCCTATCTGTTCTTTGTTTAACTGCTCCTCAATCTCTAACCATTTTGCCTTCTTTCTGCCACCCTGCATGCTTATGTAACTAATTGCAACACGCGCCTTTTTCCTTTTTCTTTTACCTTTTTTCTGGTTTTTCGCAATTCTACCTGTCAAAGCGTCCTCCTGGTTGCTTTCCCTGTTACGAGCTACCCCGGACTCCGAAGGGCCCGTGAGCCCCCAAAAAAGCTACTGCGCGTCCTGCCAGTCGCCAGCCCACCTCGTGTCCAAGCCTCTTATCGAAATGAATCCTGTCTCTTTGGAATCCACCCCACCTGTGCACTTCCCTGTTTAAATCCACTACCTCGAAACCCTTCTCTCGACTAATCCGCCATATCTCCTTGTTTGCGTCGACAACCGCTCTTCGCAGGTTGACGTTGCGCACCGGTACTTCCGGTACTGTGCATACTACAATTTGCACCTGGGGGGACACGGTGGGGACATGGTGCGCATGTCATCCACCCCTCTCGCCAAGGCCGTCGCTAGTCCTGACGATTCTTTTTTCAGGACGTCATTTAACACATCTCCATGGGACAGCGCCATCTAAAAAACAAGACGATAAATGGCGAAGAAGAGACAAATTGCGTACAGCGCCACCTAGTATATAGTCACTCAACTGCTGTTTGCATGAATCTCTATGGAATAGCGCCATGTATTGTATGATAAGGGAGACGCTACTGGGTAGGCTAGAGGGAAGAGGGATTGACCTATACCATAAAGAGCTTTGCTCCTAAAAGGGGCGAAAAGGCCAAGGAATGCTCTTTTTTCTCTCTCTATCATTATTAGCCATCCATGATGCTCGCAGTGCATGGTGACCTATGAAATAGTTCCCAGAAAACGTTCTAATCTCTTATCTCAATTTTTTCTCTATTGCAGAGCTCGGTGTACTCGATGTCGGTCAAAACGCTCATCACCGTGTCCACTATCATGCTGCTCGGTCTCATAGTAGCCTACCATGCCTTAGAAGTTCAGGTGGGTACGCTTCTGCTGTTTTTTTTTTTTTCATTTTTTAAAGATCCTGAACCAATACGTTCACTGACATGCGTCACTCCGTAAAAATGAACCGTTCAATGTCTAGTGACAACGTCAGCAGTTACATTTGTGAATGTGCTTAAGTGAGTAACTTCAAGTGCATAAATCGACCCTAGCGTCGCAAATGGCAAACTGTGGTGTTCTTGTGTACTTTTGTGTGAAGCTACATACTGCGTGTTATTTATTATTGTCCGTCAATACATTTTCTCTCTTGAAGGGGAGCAAACCCGACTCCCATGTGATCAGATGATCAATTTTCCTGTCTTCCCATTTCCTCCTCCCTATGACGCCGTACTTGATTGTCTTGCATTGTCATGAAGCACGTGCAGCTTTATGCAGTGAAGTCTTCGAAAGTCTGAACCTGGCTTTCTATATCCACCTTACTATACTTTCTATTTCGTAACTGTCATTGCTTCATCCGGGTTACTTTTTGGCCGGAGAACATCATTTTCGGTGCAATTTTCTCAGCCTACCGCAGTTGCGGAAAATCTGAAAGTCACAGAGCAGAGCAGCATTTCGTTACGCAGCACGTTTAAACACTGTTAGTTACATCTAGTTAAATTAGCGCTGACACTAGGACTTTTTTCTGTTTCGTTACTCTGATGAGTTTTCACAATATTGGCGACGACGACGTGCTTGTCGCGTTTCCGTTTCGAAATAGCAGTGCCTCAATCTCATAGATGACAGTGGCGGTGTGTATTCGTACGCTATTACAGTATATCAAATAAGTATTGAAAAAAAGATGAAAGACGATCGCAGCAAACGTTCCGCAGGGAAACTCGCGTGTCAAGTCGTATCCCTATTTGGCCGCGCGTATTTGCCCTAGTGACCGCCACAGTGTCCGCAGTGTCGGATCACCGTCGACGTTCCTCCCCGCGCTAGACGACATCGGGCGGTCCGCCCACTGAAACTGCGTGACAGCGTGTCCACGGCCATCCGCTTCCTGGTCTCAGCCAGACACGCCAGTAGCACTTCATTCCGTCATCCGACCCCCTTCCCCCCAAGAAAAAATAACAGAAAATGTCGCTAGTCGAGAGGCGGAGAGGAGAAACCGGAGAGGATATGGAATGGTGGTGGTGGTGGTTGTGGTTAGAGGAAAGAAAAGACGCCTAATTTCTGCAGCCCGTTAGGGAGCACGGCGCAGCGTCTGATGGAACGTACTAACTAGCTAGCCCAGCACTTCATGGCAGTGCCACCGCCCCCTTTTCCAACACACGCACGCCCTCTCGCGACGATTTTATTATCATCCTTTATTTCTTCCCGAATTCTCACACTTAATTCCCAAAACGTGCTTGGCTGGTGGCGGAGAGGAGTTCTCGACTTATCCTCTCTCCCACGTCCCTTATTTTTTTTTCTCTCTCTCTTCCTCGTTCGAAAGACCGGCTCTCTCAAGCGGACCTCGAGTGGCGCACGCGCGGGATGGAGTGTAGGGAACGCTGCGCAGAACCGGGTTAGTGAGAATGCATGCAAGTGCTGCGGGGCAGAGACGTGCTCATCTCGCTAAAAGCGCCACCGCTCTCCCTCCACCCTGTCCTGCCATTTTTTCTTTATTTCATCTGGTATCCTATACAGTCCCTACTTCTCCTCCACCCAGTGCCTCGCTGTCCCTTTTCCCGCACTTTTGCTCTCCCTCTATCTGTCTCAACAACGACCCTTTTCCTTCGTCTCCCCTTCCTGCCTATGAAAACGCTCGTATTTCCCCCACTGCCCTTTTTTCCACTCTCTTTCCTTTTCAGTCTCATCTTTCCTTCGGCCTTCACAGGGTCAGGCCGTAGCGGCAAAGGTTTTTATGGAGCCGGCAGCTCATTTTCGCTGCGTTTGTGGTTATCACTTAACAAACGCGAGCGCGCGCCGTCCTCTGATAGATGTGCTCGGTGGCATCGATTGCATATATTTCACGCGAACGATCATTTCATCTAGCTCTCCGGTTCCTCCTTCCTATCCGGTTTAACAATTTTCTTTCCTATGTGTTTTATTGGTTACTACCTTTTTTTTTTTTTGAATTTTGACCTTTGCTTCTAGGGCTCCGCGTTTTTTTTTTTTTCTTTTCCAGCTCTCGCTCTCTCTTTCTGATTCTTTTGCCTCCGTATATATACGTGTTCCCACCTCAAAAAGAACGGAAGCACTGCGTTAAATGTATACGGTTCATAAAAGCGATTACTTTCAGACTGGAAGTAGGCAGCCACCATATCGACGGATATGGCTGCTTCGTTTTGTTCATCAACCTGATTATAGGCTTTTATTTACCAATACTCTAGGAAGGTTAATTTCTTTAGTTTATTGTTGCCCATTTTGCCTTTATAAATCACTATTGCGAGAAAATTTGTCACTATCTGTTGAGTAGCTTTCTACAGATTAGTACAGTGCTTAAAAACGGGAGAAAAGCTCACAGGTTTCTTTTGTAGAACTGCCGAATTGAAATTGTTTTTTTTTTACCATATAAACTCAGAAATATTGATTAACAAGTACTTCAGGCGCTCATTTTGAGTGAAGGTGCGTTATTTCGCTGCAAAAAAATTAGAAAGAAGAAAGAAATAAAGTGATCAGCTAGAGAGGTTAATCAGTGGAAATATCCAATTGATTGCCCTGCAGTTGTGAAGGTTAAAGGGTAACGGATCTACATGGTCATCACAAAAGCACTGTCCAAAAACTTCGCACTGACATTGTCCATAAACAGCCACAATGCGTCCTTCAGTACTGCTTCTTCAAGATATCGCAACAACGCCCTCACAGTGGTTCACGTTGAAATCCGAGCCGGCCAGTGCCCAATAATTTTTGTTTCTGTGGGTCGTTGGTTGGCCAACTGGCCTAGGGTGGCTGAGAGGGCTGGTGTTTTGCATTTAAAGCAAGTGAACTCAGAAAGACGTTGAGCGAGCGTCTCGAAGCACTCGTTAAGTTTGAATAATCGGTTATTAGTAGTTTCAACGGAATATTCTATCAAATTTCTGCAAACTAAGCAAATTGTACGTTACGGCTGTGGAATATTTTGCTAGGATTTGTTCATTTGTACCTTTGTCGTTAGTCGACGTGAAGACACCATCAGCTCGAAGCGCACTTGGATGATTGGACGCCCTAAGCCCAGTGCTTGAATCTCTCAACTAGGAAGATGGCTACTCACACCTCATCATTTCGTAAAGAAGTCAAGGCTGCATCCGTCATCCAATGGAACGCCAGAGGACTAAAATCACGCCTTTCAGATTTTCGTCAGTTCGTGTTTACCAACGTGTTTTCCATCATCGTCATTTGTGAACCTAATTTGTCGAAACCAATAAGACTGTCGCGGTACGAAGCTGTCATGTCTTCAACGAACAGTGCGTGCAGCAAAATCTCGTCTTTGTTCGTCGTGAACTGACGTATGTTGTGCAACCAATTGCACCTCACGATGACAATCAGTATGTCTGCATCACTGTGAAAAAGAACAAACTCATGTCTACTCTCATGGGCGTTTATATATCGCCGTCGAATAATCTTGATTTCAGGAGATTAGCGGATATTTTGAGAGTGTGTCCTGCACCATGGGTCATCATACGTGATTTCAATGCGCACAAACACGCATGGGGAAGTACGCGGACAAATCCAAGAGGACGCAGGTTAGCAAACATCGCCTACAACTATGGCCTTACTCTCCTGAACGACGGTAGCCCCACTTTTCTTCGAGGGGTGACATACGGCAGCTGTCTCGGCCTTGCCTTTGTCTCCAACTCTCTCGCGAGATACGTCAAGTGGTTTCCAGATGTTGAGACACGAGGAAGTGATCACATTCCAATCTACCTTAACATTAAAGGCTTGTATAGTTATGGTCCAAGGACGACCATTCGCGCAGTCCAATGGACCAACTTCAAATCTGACATGGAAGATGCTTGCAGCGATGGCCTACGATCTGGGTTAGAGCAAACAATTAGGAGCACAATGCAGAATGCCACTCGCACGGTGACGATATCTTCCACACGAAACGACTTTGATATAGAGTTGGAGCGACTCCGAGCACTGCGACGCCGGGCGGAGCGTCGGTATCGGCGTACAAAATCAATTCACGATCTTAGGGCAACCAGGAGGATGCAAAAGAAGATTCGGCGTCGCATGGATAGATTAGCGTCGGAACGATGGACAACGTTTTGCCAGTCACTAGACCCTCGCAAGTCACTCTCACACATTTGAAAAACGGTGCAACGTCTGCGTCACCCTACGGAACAGCGTTTTCCATTCAAAGCGCTCGCGCTATTTCAAAGGAGGCAAGACATCGATGTCGCAGAAGATTTCTGTGCGCAGATCGCCAACCAAGCCACTCGTCCAGATTCTCCAGTGAGAGGTGACGTCCCCCGTTCCCGTGACTACCACATGGACCTCCCTTTTACAAAGAAGGAGCTCGAGGCGGCACTAGCTCTCTGCAGGCGTTCAACTTCTCCGGGCCCAGATGGTATTCCGTACCGAGCCTTGTGCAACCTTGGCGAAGGTGCAAGGAGAGAACTGTTGAGCCTCTACAACATCTCGTGCCAGGATGGCAATGTTACTGATGACTTGAAAGTAAGCCACTTGTTACCCATCTTGAAGCAGGGCAAATCCCCACTCGAAGTCACCTCATACCGCCCAATAGCACTGGCCAGCTGCGTAGGGAAGATAATGGAACGGATGATACTAGGCCGCCTGGAGTGGCATCTTGAATACTACAATATTTGTCCGAATTCAATGGCTGGTTTCCGACGCAACCGCTCTTCTATTGACAATGTCATTGATCTAGTTTCGTACGTTCAGCACGAAAGATCCCGTAAGTGACTATCTGCAGCTTTGTTTCTAGATGTGAAAGGCGCTTATGGTAATGTACTACATGAAGCCATTTTGGGTGCTCTTGCGGTGGTTGGCCTTGGTGGTCGAGTCTTTCGGTGGATTTCGAGTTGCCTGGCTGCAAGATCATTCTTTGTGTTAACAGAAGATGGCCCAAC